CCAACAAAAACTGAGTATAATGAAAAAGAACACATATGTAGAAGAGAAAAGTACAATCCTGATTAACATACAGCAAAAAAGCTAATCCAACAGATTTCTTATAGTGTTAAGAATTTACTTCATTATCACTTCTTCTTTCACATTCTAGATTACAATACATACTTTCTTTACATAGTAAAACCAGTACTTACATACCCTCAAAGAAAAAAATCCCCAAATTAAATACAGTCTCCAAAATATTACAACAATGTTGGAAGTCTCATTTCTGACACTTCCTCAAAGTTCCCTGATGTTGTAAAACTGAGGTCATCACTTCTGATACCACCTAAAAGCTTGTCCTCAGGTAGATCAGCTGGAAGTTAGGACTTTTTTTTTAAACAGCAGCTATATATTTGAGGATAGGATTCTTCCATCAATGTATTTCTACCTGCCTTTGAATCTAGCACAAATAAGCACCGTTTCCTTGAATAAAGATGAGAACATCTCTACTTTGAATTTACAACAACCCAAGACTATTAGATTGTTCACTCCATTAGTATGAAAAAGGACACAACCAGCCTTCTGAAAGAACACCACAGCAGTACATGGGTGTCTCAGCTAGAAATAATTCAGTGATGACATCACATAAACATTTTCTATCCTGTACTGAATTGATCAAACTTATTCAATAATTAGATATTTGTTTCATGGCATTGTTGACATTTAGATACACACATTTCTGACTCTGTAATTCCTGTTGAGATAGCAAGTTCTTCATGGTAGACTTTTCTTCCTCCCTCTTCTTTCTCTTCCAGTTTCCTGGAAAGGAAGCAGACAACAACAACAACAAAAAGACAATCCATATGAAGTTCCAATTAAAAAACAGTGAGAACCCCCAACTATCACTATCCCAGTTGTGCTTTTTTTTTTTTTTGTCTGTTTGCTAGCAACATTTGTAGTAATAATAACTAGCAGACAACCCATAGGATCTGCGATCAGTTTTAAAACAACATAACTTCATATCCTCTGAAAACAGAAATATTTTCTCTCTGGACCATCATAGTACATTGGTGTGTCCCCTAATTATTGCTCTGTGTGGATCGCTGTCTGGATTTCTGTTCACTTTTTTCCAAGAACAGTAAACATCTCTGAGCTTCATGACAATATGACACCAACAAGAATGGTTTTTTTTCTGCTTGTGTTAATGCTGGTTTTTTTCTTCAGATCTGCTTGCAGGCTGGGTTTTCTTTTAAGCCACTCTCTGAACTGAAGATTAACTTGGAGATAAACTTATCTTTAATGTTATCCTGGGCCATGTGTTCATTTCTAATTACAGCAAGTTTTTGCTGCTGTATTTTTCCACAAGTGTGTCAGCACTATTTTCTGTCTTACTGTTGAATATAAAGAGCTGCCAAGGAAAGCATTCCCATGGTCTTCAGTATTGGCAGACCCTCCCTACTTATGTGAGAGCTTTTTCAGTTTCTCTGGTAAGCATCCATGAAGGAATGATTCCCTTCAGATAGCAAACCAAATGTGTCCTTATTTCTAAAGTTGCCTGAAAAAAAATAAAATACTCAGACCTCAGTCCAAGCTTGCTGCTTTTCTTTTGCATTCCAGACAAATAAAATGCTCGTGTAAGTAACCAAATTACAATACATATCAAAGTAACTATAGAGGAGGGTAAAATTCTGTATCATAAAGACACACAGTTTTCACCCATGTAACTAGGTGACACACTGTATTATATACTATGTGACACAGACTGTGTTAGTTCCAGTTGTGAGTAATCAGTACCACTCAGTAGTTAATGTAACATTACACTTTTTTTTTTCTTTTTCCTTCAATCAGCATATTCTTCTATATAAAGGCTACAGGGGAAGCATGCAGTGATGCTAAGTACCATTCTTGCACATACTGGGAAGAGAAGGATGGAAGGGTTGTTCTCTCTCTAGAGGTACGTACTGTAAAATGAGCTGGAGAGCTCCCACAATGCCATGAAATTAAGCTAAAAAAAGGTAACAGTAGTTAAAGACTCAATTTTGAACTCTTTAATTAATCCACCTGATAAATGAAAATTAAATGTTAATTTAAAATGTTATTTGCAAACCATTTATGGATGGCTTTGCTAAATTAGAGCAGCAGGATGGCTTTGGCTTTTCAGGGACGATTTCTTTCTTTTGCAGTAAGATTTTATTTCTCAGCACTGACTGATGCTTCTGAGCGATTTCTGCAGTTCAGTTAGCTCCGTTTTTGAAAGAGACAATTTAAACACCTGATGTTTAAAAATGCACAGGAGATAAATATACAAGTGTCGTTTACCAGAAATGCAACAAAAGTGCGGAAAAAATGTATGTTATCAAATACCTTTAAATAGGCCTTCACATACGCACCTGTTTCGTCACTTACTTGTGCAGGGTACATGCCACTGGCAATGACATCTGTAAAAGTAACAATAACCAACAAAAGTCAGAAACTTTCTCATTTACACCACTCAAATACTACTGGCCGTGCTTTCTGCAAGTACTATTATAGTAATTTAAACCTCAGAAAATATTAAATGGACTAAATTCATCCTAATCTGAACGGTCTCTTTATCATTTCTGAAGATACGTGCACTGAATCTCCATGAAGACTGAAGACATTAACTTTGGCAGTTGATCTTGAGATTGTGAAAATAGAGCTGTTCCACAGAAATCAGTTCCTTAAATAGGTGCTCCTACTGTGAATTGTTACTGGTTAGCAAAACCCAGACTGTTTTCTGCCACAAATAATTTGATTGACATAAACAGTCATTAGCGTAAATGAACTAAATGTTCCAGCTGTACACAATTCCTTTCACCAGTAGAAAATAAAGTAGAGAAATAAAGCAATAAAGAATGGCTCTCACTACACTTCTTATGGTCACAGTCCTATTTGTACAAGCTCTGGAAACATGCTACCATAAATTTAGGATAAAGCATTGACTTACTTTTAAAAAAGGAATAGTTGAACAATGCCCCTATGTATTCTGCCATTAAAAATGTCTTTAAAAACTGCAGCACTCACAACTCCCATGTAGAAAATAAATCCCTTTCTTATCTGTGTTAAAACTTCCTCCATCAAAGGAGCAAGTACTTGTATTGCCACACACAAATTTTTGCATGCTAGAGAATCTCACAAAATTAATTTCAGGTTGACATCTGGATTTCAACCCAAATCTAATTCCAACATAACCAATTTGTAATGATACCACAAGCGTTAAGTTTCACGTACCTGGGCAGTTCCTTCACTTTATATGACAACTACAGATGTTCATTTCAATCATGTTTGATGTATTGTTTGTGAAAGCAGCTTTTGGGTGTTAGCCAGTATGCCATTATATAAAATGACCAAATCTGTTAGTGATCTGCTCTAGGGAGCAGCACAGTAGTTTTAGGCACAACAGTGTTGTCCGTATAGCAGTGAGCAAAAAGCTTCCATTCCCCTAAGAAACACCGTCCATAAAATTGGTGTAATAGAAGAACCTTGTACTTCTTGGATTAAAATTTGATGAGCCATACTGTGCTATGGATTCATCATGCAGACAGCATTGCAGGAGAATTACAGCCTACTGAGCTGATCTCTCTGAAATCAGCAGAGAACACAACAAAAGAGATTTTGAATCAAGTAATCACTCAATCTCTCTCACTTTACTGCATAGCTTATCCTTAGCTACAAACATACTTAGCAACAAATAACTTTCAGCAGGACTTGTTAATATGTGGTTTGAACACTTGCTATGATTGGATTTTCCAGAAACTTCCTGGAAATTGAAGGCCAAGTTGTTCTTCCATATTCCTGAAGGAAAAGACTACAGTACAGAATGCCATGATTCTCCTAAAATTATACTCACTTCCAGTAAATGCCTTTTGTCATCATGAAGTCTAACTCCTTGACAGCACTGCAGCTACTTAAGAATGGACTGTTTTGTGACTGTGACTTTACACAGTGAGTTTGCAAACACACACTATCCCACAACTAATCAACAAGTGAAGGTTGAAGTGGCAAATATCACATGTGGCTCAAACTCAGATTAAAGATTCTTACCATGCTTAGAAGTTTCTGAAGAACTTTTCCATAAGCTACCCATGGTTGTTTTTTTTTCTGTTTTTTGTTTTCTGTAGAAGAGTTTCATGGCAAGGTAGATTAATTATGCAGAAGTTTCAAGTGTTCCCTTTCCTTTTAATTGACTTTTTCCCCTCTGTTACACTGCCTTCCCATTTCCACTGGAAAACCAGAAAATTCCAATTGAGACTCTTTCAGTGATCTCTTGCAGCACTTTTTCAGGGAAAAAAAAAAAAAAAAAAGAAATAAAACTCAGCAGAATGACACAGTAGGGGCTGCTTGCAAACATGCAAGTTACTTTTCAGTGGGTATCAGCCAGTTGCAACCTTTCAAGGTTCTGGATCCCTGAGCTTCGTGCAGAAAAGAAAAAAACCATGATATATAAAATGAACAAGAGATGAGAGGCTATTTATGCTGACTTCTCAGTAACTGCTAAACAGCAAAGAAAAATATCTACCCACCTGCCTTTTAGATTACTGGGTTTCTCACTTATTGGTACTCAAAGACATGCAGACCATTGCAACATTCACTTCCTCTGCTTGCTTAGATTGCAGAACTTCTTTCACTATTTCCTTCTTGCCCCCACCGGTTTCTCTGGTAAATATACTTCACATTTCAACACACTGACTTAAAAAGAAAAAGGTATTGCTACCATGTATAATCAATGAATATTAAGATGCTATAATTACAAAACAAACACAAGAGTCAGGCAAAGCATATAATGATAACAAAAAGAGAATAGATAGAAAGCTTACCCCTATCCTGGGCTCAATCACAAAACACCAGCAGAACAGATTTCCAGAAGAGATCCTTCCCCACTGGTAGCCAGCTCTTAAATAGGTCTAGGAGGGGTGCAGCCAGGCTCCATCCCTTCCTGCAGCACAGGTGAATTGCCTTCACTGTGCTCCTCTGCTGACTCATGGCTCGCCTCAGGTGATCCATCAGAGGTTCAGGCCATGACTCAGCACTTCCCATACATACCAGTAGTTGTGATAAAGCATTAGACACATGGAAGGAAAGTATGTATTTTTTCCCTAGGAGGAGGAAGCAGGACAGAAAAGAAGTATTTTGTTTTCCACCACAGCCTCTTTTTCTGGTCTAAAAAGTTTTAATGTCGTGTGTTTCTAGAGGGCAGTTATCTTCATTAGCATCATACTGTTACACCAGCCTGTTGCATCAGTTTCTCAGCACAAGGTTTTAGTGTTTTGGGGAGGGAAGAAAAAAAAAAAAAAAAGGATAATTAAAACATAGTATGCAAAACAGATTATTTAGTTCTTGATGGTGTAACTCCACTCAGTAAGAAGCTGCCTCTGAATTCTACTCAGCAAAGATTTTATTACCTTGAATGAACTTTGCAATCATTAACTTGTATTTTTAACAGTGTTCCTGAGAGCAGGAAAGCAATTGTTTGGCTTAATGGGTCTTAATACAGTTGTTCAGATTAAGAAGAAAACAGCAGCCTTTTTTCAAAATACACTCTTATGGAGTGGTTCTGAAAATGTACAATTGCTTCCCGACCTGGGAATTTCTTTCAGTGCTACTCAGTGTTGTTGCCCACTTCTCTTTAGTAGCACTAGACAGTCCTAACAAGGAAACAAGTGCTTCTGAACAGCTGTGCAGTCTCTGTTTTTTTTAAGATTTCAACACATGACTAGAAAAAGCCAGTGGTGATCCATGGTATCCCAAGCACTAGTCCTGCTCTCAAAGGGAGGCTGGACAAGCTAACTTCCAGAGGCTCCTTCTAGTTTGCATCTCTGTGATTTGGTGTGGATTTACTAGTCACCATAAAAGACCTTCTAATTGTTACTTGAAATTTTACTCTTACCTTGTTGGGGAACAAGTATTAACCAATTATCTTCTTGTATTTTGGAGATGAAGGTGTAATGGATGGTCATTACCACCAAGGCAGCTTCCTGAATGCATCTATTAAAGCTGAAACTTCTGCAAATGCCACAGATATGGCAGCTCCGCTGAGAGACAGTGAAAGCAGCCTGAGATCGGCAGGTTGAACCAGAATCTGTCCTTACAAGCTGTCAACAGAGTTAAATAACAGCAGTGATGACATGGGTTGCCATATACCTATCAAAGGGTTACTGTAGTTTAAATGTCATCTACTGCTACTTTCCTACAGATGTTTGAAGAGGGCAGTATCCTATAACCGCCTTTATTCCAGCCGCCACTGTGACAACAAGCTGAAAGAACTGATTATATGAAACTGAATAAACCAGGGAGTAGAACCTGAGATAAAGCCCAATTGCAAGTGTGTTCCTACAAACTACTATATGAATATATGAATCTCTTCTATTTTGCTAATACTACTGTGCACCCAAAGAGAGAGAAGACTTTTGAGCCAAGAGGAGGAGTGTGTATGAATCTCTATGTGGCTTGCTATGGCAGGATAGTAAAAGGTACCACAGGAAAGAAAGAATACTTCTTTCTCTCTTAAAGTCATTTGTCTGAACAGTTACTCAACACATGCAGGCACATCAGCTAATAAGCTAATATATCTGCTTGCATCAAGAGCATTTTAAACATCACAATAACCAAGTAAAGAAATAAAAGAATATACAAAAACAGTGGCTGCACAGTCATATAAGCTATTGCAATTGTGAAACTTTTAAATTGTTTGTACTGATTATAATGCCTGCTGACCACGTCCTGGCAGCCCCGTGTACAGCACACACATAATTCTATGCGTGGCACGAAATGTAAGCAGTACATTTCCTGTCATTCCATTCAACAAAAACTAAAGGATGTTACTAGTGCTTATTAACAGTACATCAGAATCTGCACTGACTACTATAAAACAAATTTGCTGAAAGCAATGCTTAATCACATGGATTGAAGCTAGTCAACCTAAAACTATCCAAGAGTATTTATATGCCACAGATTTACTGTGCAGAGTGATGAGCTGAAGCAGGTACTAAAGCTACTGAGATCCAGTCAGTTTTATAACACCAAATTTATTTGCCTCTGCATGTTGTTGTCCTGTTTCAAATCCCCACTTTCTTCCATGGACAGTATTGTTAATTTTTTTTCCCAGTAGAGTGAAAACTTACTTTCCATCACAGAATTATGATCATACACAAACTCAGGCCTTTGTACCACCTTCCTACTAGCAGGAACACTAGGAAGCAAAGCACTAAGCATCTGCTTGGATATAAAAATATGGGAGCTATTGGGAATAGGTGAACGGTTGGACTGGATGATCTTTTAGGTCTTTTCCAACCTTGGTGATTCTATGATATATGGAATGAGGGGCAAAATCATAACCATGCTGTATGCCAGACAACTGAAACTTGGTAATATTCTACTGTTGATCTTCAGAGAAGAAAGTAAAACAGATAATGCTGTAAAAACGTATTAATTATCTATAGAGGCTATGTAATTTCCATCAGACTTTTATCAATGGGATGCTACATCTTCCCCACAGTTATAAAATATCTCTCTTCAAGGTCAACTGAACATAACTTCTCTGAAAGTAGTAATCAAATGGATCCCCTACAGACAGCAGCTCTTCAGATAGTAATGCTTTCATTACATTTGTTTTTCCCGCAGGAAATCATAAAATGCATTACTGACAAAGACACTTGATTTAAAGCAAGATCCTGCTCTGCACAGTGACTCCACACAAGACTGTATTTATTGCTTCTCAGTGATGCTGTAACAGATACTTGTAGAAAGAAAATATTATCCATTCTTGACTGTCTTCCAAACTCATCCTAGAATGACTTTTCCCTGTCACTGATCATTACGAGCAATAAGCACACCACAGATGAAATTATGCCCTCAGAGACATCCGTGCAACCTCATTACTCTCCACCAAGGCTGTGCAGATATAGTTTGGCTGAATCTGTCAATGCTGTGACATTATCAGATCCCACAATGTAAGCAACTTGCAATACGCAATCATAGTAAGTCATAAAATTTCTGCCATACTGTAAAGATGAATATATAAAACACATACTACTGAATCAGCAATAGTAAGTATGAATGGTCAAATACAAGGGATAGCTAAGTAAAGCTTATAAACAAATGACATACTTTGAGTCTAGCATAAGACACTGGTATCTGGATTTAGATCCTCACATATCTGGAGCAATTCAGCCATGTGGAATCACTGCTCAATTTGCCTTGAATGAAAATGAGAGAAAAGAAACAGTTCATTCTGTCACTCTTGTAAAATGTTCTAGTGTGTTTTTGCAGCACTAGTCAACATGTTTTGTATAAGTCATTGCTAAGAGTACAACAGACTTTCTTTCAGAGGTTCTTCAGTGGGCTTGGAAAGAATGACAGGAAGCCTAACAGTCAGAGGAAGAGAAGTTCTCACTCACTGAGTTGTCCCATTCTGAAACAAAGCCAAAGCTATGTTGGTGAAAGAATAAAGTGGTGGTGACAGAAAGAAAATCTATGATCCTCTTGTCTTTTGCTATATCCCAACCTCGCTCAGAAACTGACAGCTCTGCAACTGTAAGCTTTGCTTCTGTTGTATCTTATTGCCTCATAGCAATTAAGACTTATCTCCTGTGTGCTTCCTTCCTCTTTTACCTCTTCCTCTAATCCATCCAGAATTCTGCACTTCTGGTATTTTATCTGCTGAACGAACATTTCCTTACCCCACATCCTGCTGCTAGGCACAAGTGTTGAGGGAGCTATACCATAAACCACACAACACAGCTAAAGGAAACAATTTCCAGAGGGGAACTATTCTCGGTGCGGACCAGCTCAAATGATTTTCACTGCACAAAGTTCACAGTACAATCTGAAACCATTTCTGCTGCCTTGGCTAAAAGGAGCACAGCCTCCTTCTGCACTTCTTCCAAAGGTCCTATCCATTTCATGAAATGCTGGCATTTTGCCTATTCTTTTAGTCACCAAAATCTAATTACTTGCCAGCCAGGTGAGCTTTACATGCCCACCCCATATAGCACCAGTTGCAGTGGTGCTGCAGACAGCCTTGATTTCAGCATCAGTTCTTACAGAGCTGTTCTACAGGGTGAGCAGCAGAAGCCAAGTACATACTGGTGATTAATTACAGCTCTCAAGCACTCCACCCAGCCTTCTTAAAGGCCGGCTGCATTATTACGTGGAATTTGATGCACTACAGCTCCTGGTTTTGGTACTAAAAGCACTGAACCAACTTGCACTTACTATCATGCAAATAGGACTGAAGATCACCTTTCGGTCTCATCCAAAGAGAGAAAGGTAGAATTCCAGTGTGATGGTAACATTGTGCTTCAACCATGAACTTCTAGTTTTTCAAACATCCATAATCATAAGCAGCATAAGAAGTGGTCAGGTTTTGGAAGCGGCTCTGTTTGAGGCACCAAACTGTTTAACAAAAAATACACGCCCTCTGCAAACAGCTCCTGTAACTTGAGGCTAGGACTGGCACTGCCTAGTGATGTGCACCAGGGCACTGTAAGCACTGAGAAAACAAACAAAAAAGGGAGAAGAGGGAATAGAGGCATTCCTCCCTCTTAAAGACAAGTAAGCCATAAATGGTGGGTTCAATCCTCTCCTGCTGAAAGGAAAAAGGCATTTGGAGCGAGAAATGTACATAATTGTTCTGCTTTTCATAGTTGGAGAATTCAGTAGGTTTGTTTCTCAACATCTACATGATTTAAAGAGAAATATCAGTAGACACAACAATAATCAGCACGTTCTTAAGGTGTAATCCTTGCTTCACAGGGAATGGATCGATCACAGAACAACAGCTTTCCAAGGTGCCAGGAATATTAGCCAATGCAAATATGCACTGAAAGACTGAAGAGAGAAAACAGTGTTATAATTAATGGAATTTTGGTTGAAAAGATTAAGCTTTACTTAAAAAGGTGGAGAAGGTATTTGTTCAATAGCTTACTCAGTCATGCTCTCTATGTGGAAGTCTATGTACAGAAAGACAAACACCTGCATTTCTTGACAAAAATCATTACTTCTCCATCCCTCCATTTCCAGTGCTCAGGCCTCTCCTTTAGACTTCTAAATAACTTTCTTCCCAAATATTAGACTATAACATAAACCAGTTAAACTAGATGAATTACCTTTTAAAAATGGCACAGAAATGAAGGACTGATACACGTAATCCTAATGCAAAAAATTTCCTGTCCAAGCAGACTTCAAAATACATGTTCTAAATCCCTGCTAAAAGAACCAGAAGAGATTGCTAGGAAATCTTCCTACAAGCATGTGATACATAAGCAAACAAGAAGCTGAAAATTCAGGCATTTCACAAGTTTAACAAGTTTGCTGTTACACACAACACCTCTCTAAAAGCAAGAAATGTGGTTCTTATCTGTCTTTCCCTCATGACCCCTAACTAAACTATTCATATAAATTGTCATGGCAACTTAGACACAAGGATACCAGCAAAAGCAAGTCAATTCCCTTTGGGGAGATTTAGAATAGCAAAAGCTCTACCCATTCTGATGCTGGCAGAGATAAAGCCCTTCCCTGTTCCATGATCACAGACCACACCGACTTCTTGCTGAGGTGTTGCTCCCAGACGCTCTTGCTCAGGCTGCAGCCATAAGCCTCCAGCCCAGGTCAAACATGAGAATGGATCATCTGGAAGAAGTTCTACCTTCACTAACTCTTATTGAATGCAATTTGAGTTCAGAAAGAAATCAGTTTTTCCAAAATTAAGCATTGCATAAGAATCAATATTATTCTCCTTACATGAACACATATTTATTCACTGCAACCCTACAGTTTCACCAAAACCATCCATTTCTTGCTGAATGACAGCAGTACAGACCACATTTCTTTCAGATCTCTTCAGACTCATCTGAAGAGTGAAAACATCAAATTTTTTTTTATTTTTTCCCTCCTCCTGCAGTCACAACACTTCATGCAGCTTTTTTCTTCATATATGTATTTTTTTATACTTTGTATATATAAAGACAATAAATGTAATACATACATTATGTACAGATAAGCAATAATTTTGCAATACATATGGTAAAAGAGAAATAATTTAAGAGATATGGGAACTGCAGTAAATGCTTGTGTATAACTCTACTGACATAGCAGTAGCACAAGAACTTCCACTCTGACAGCTGATGTCCTAATTTGACAGCCATGTAAACTATCCCATATTGGCTGCGCAGGCTCCCATCTGACCACCACCAGTCAGAGCATCCAGCCTGTGCCTCCAGCGTTCACTGAGTGCTTTACATAGCACTACAGCAGAACACACTCCAAGAGATGCTGGACTCGCTATGATGGCTATTTTCCTGTTTCTCACTGCAGTGACTGCCTCCTATGAGTAACAAACACAGCCACACTGAAATGCAAACGTACACTGGAAGAGGGAAAGCATCTTCCTGCCAATTGTTAGGAACACTCTCTCACTAAGAGAAAATCCTTGGCAAATTCAAGTGGAGCCCTAGAAATACAGCAGGCAATATACGAGTCCAAAAACCAAAAACACATGACAGAAGATAAATAGGTATTTATTTAGGTTCATCTCAAAACACACAAAAATAAAGGACATTAAGGCATCTTGTATTCAATAACTGTTCATATGGTAAAGATGACTTCTCTTTCTGATAAGAAGAGCACACTAGAAAACAAGTTTCCCCAACACATTTGGCAGTGCAGACTTGTCAGGCTGTTCCAACATTCAGCCAGTAAAGCCCTTCAAAGAATGCCCACTTCTCTCATAAAAGAGCTACAAGATCTAACAGTTGTTGAGCGACATGCCAGATTGCACTCTTCTTTCCCTTCAAACACACGACCTTCTGTAAAGATGCACGCTGGAGAAAGACTAACAGGTGCATACTTCAGAGAATAAAGAACACAGACTCATGTTGGAAGCTCTCATTTCTTTCAGTAACCAGAGTACTTGTCCTTGCTTTCACAAGTGTTTGCTACTTCAGCCAAAAACGAGTGAAAAGAGAACAAGTTCTGCCTCAGAATGAAGCAATTTTTATGCTCTTCTACATTTGTATTAGATAAACAAATGACAAAGGTTTTGTTTCCATGGAATAATTTATTTTAATGAATTATGCTATCAAGTGACTAATCACTGCTATAGTGCTTTTTTCTTCCATTGGAGTAACAACATCGGGAAATGTTTACAGTATCATCAGGTTCACTACAAAAGGATTTTACTACAGAGTAAGATATAAATTAAAAAACACTGCATATAGCACTATTCATTTTACCACATTCACCCTCTGTATCCTTTGTTCACATTTTTACCTCCATTTAAGGCAAGTTTAGTTTCCAAAGAAGACCACGCAGTCTCAAGACAAACTTGTGTGTCTGGATTTATGAGTTAGGAAATCAAGCTTTATAAAACCTTTACTTCAACAAATAAGAAAGCTATTAAGAGAAAGACGGTGACCCAAAATTGCACTGTATTAAGAGGTTGAGTTTCCATGTACCAAAGTCCTTTATTCATCATCTTTAGAACCAGTTTTGCTTAACTATGGAAGAGACACAAAAAGAAAGTGTTCAAAGTTTAGACTGCCATTCCATTTATTAGGAAACAAGAACATTATTTCCATCTTACATAGACCACATGTATATTTAATAATATAGACTGAATGTGATACTGTACCAAGAGGTTGAAATGCACCAAAAATAATTTCTTAACGTTAAGCACTAAATAAGCTTATTTCCTGAACCTGAAATCCTATCTTCATGTATTTTATGAACTGCTTTAAAAAAAAATACAAAATGCAACCGATTTTAAGGAAAAGCAAACAAACAAAAGAAACAACCCAAACCAACCAATCAACCATCCAAACCACAAAGAACCTTAGGGTACAAGGTCTATTTAACTTGAAGATCAGGTCACCTGCTCTCCAAAATAAACGATGTAGCAATTGAGAAATTACCCCCTCACGTCTCTGGAAGACTTCCACGTAGAGATTCACACAACACAAAACCAAATGCTGTTTCTATTTTTTTTTTTCCTAAAGCTAATTTTATAATTATTAAACATTGTGAACCTATTGGGAAATTGATCTGGAATCCAAGTCATCCACTAGAAACAGCTACTTTCAATTCAGGATAACTGCCGACAACCACCATCATCAGTTGCTCGCTTAACAACCACAGCCTTATTCTGTGCAATTATAATTGTGCAAAATAAAATAGCTTGCTATCAAAATGGTCAAGTAGCTACACTGACTTCCACTGAACAAGCAAAGCTTGAAAAACATTTGAGAACTACACAAATCAGAATCTAAAATGAGCAACAGACTTACAGTTCTTATTATTGCTTGCAAATCTTTTTAATATTAAAAGATAACTTGATAATACTTACATGCTGGATGCACACAGATACAAATCAGATGCCACAGTCAAATCCAAACAGCATAGGAAAAAAAAAATCAGATTAGTTTTCTTCAGATGTACACATCAATTCAAATGCAAAGAGGCAGTATGTTGCTAGCACTGCTTATCATACAGCTGTACTACCTTAATGACGTCCACCCAGTTCCATCCTCGAGGAAGCTCTCCTTTGTGATCTGCAGAATAACAAGGTTTTATTTTCAACACACAAACGAATTAAAATCAACACACAAAATTGTAAAGAGTCATAAATCTTAATTTGTCCATTACAAAGCATTGAAGACAAAGAACACATTTATGTCCTGAACGCATCCTGCTCTTCAAAGTAATTCTCAGACCTTTTACACCTGAATTAACAGACAATTCTAAAACGAGCTGAATCAACCACTAGTGATGCATTCTTTCAACTAAATCTTACACAGGTTTTCCCATCTGACATCCACATTTAGAATGCCATGGATTTAAATTAGGTAAATTATACTTAGAAATTGCTATAATGAGATATAATTTTTGCTGCATTGACTAAGCATTACCTAGATCATTATTAAAAACTGAGGCTAAGCACAAAATTGTTCAGAGTTAAGCCAAAATACTGAACCCTTTTCTATAAAAAATGTAGTATTTCACTGAAAGCACAAAGTGACTCCAGAAGCACCTCTACCTTGAGGATACAAACTAATTAAAAGGTTCTACTTTGGGTTCCAAGCAAACATTTTCTTTTAGAAATTACACTTTTAATAACATGGATTACTTATCAGGGCCTATCAACAAAATATAAGCCTTTTGTTGGAAGGGACTACTAGGATGTCCCAAATGCTTTCCCCAAATGGTATGTTTGAAAACTTCACTTATGTCACAAACTGAAATAACAAAATGAAATTAAATCAACGACACCTCAAAATCCCTACTCTATAGTTTTTACTGCTTCTACCAGAACTATCATCTCAGGCAAGAACCACATACCTGTGTTTCTTTTGCTTGTTTTACATTGAAAGCAGTTAATCTTATAAGCAAGAGCCTTCTGATTCCAATTACCAAAACAACACAGCTGTTAAGTTTTGACTCCTGCACAGCACAAACATAACAATACCATAATGGACAAACCTGTTTTGTCGGCTAGCTTTCTTTTCTGGGTTTTGGATAACTGTTCCTTTTTGTCTTTTTTCTTATTTGCTGGCACATCAGAAGTTCCAATAGAAATATTATTGCTTACTGAAGTCTGAGAAAGGCGAAAGTGGTTGTTAATATTTTGCATGCTAGTTCACCTATCATACTCCAGAATCCAGTACAAATACAGAGTAAAAACAGTTTCCTCTGTGCCTGATTACTGTGAAAGAGAAAAGCCATCAGCAGCCTGCAGCTTTTAATCAGCATACAATGATGACAGCAGTAGCTTTAAGAACCATGACAAAGAGACTGGAATTATTCCCTTTCAGAGTTGCCAAGGGGCACTTCTTACACCGTCAAAATTTGATGGTGAAGTGTGATTTAGTCTGAAGGGATTCAGACATGCAAAATACAAAAATCATTCATTTTTCCTCAAATTAAGTCTGCAGCATGACAAAGACCATTGAAGAGGAAGCAATACAAGAAGGCAAACGCAGAAGCTGCAAAACTTGCAGAAGATCCTGAAGGTACATTCACGCAATTAACAGCGTCCCAGGAAGCTTTCAATAATTGACACCTGAGCAGACATATTTAATCTATTCCAGCTCTCTTTAGCTTTGTTTCTGTTCCAAGTCTCCATTTTAATGTCATTTTGCAGCCCATTCACATTTCGCTATGACAGCAAAACAACAATTACCACAGAGCATTGTAGTACCATGATCTATGGGCTACTGTTTAGCCACAGCCATATATTAGTCAGTATACTGAGTGTAAACCTTAAAAGTAAAGCAATGAAGTACTCTGAGGTTTACTAACTACTTTTGCAGAATTAGAAGTGAGGCATTTAAAAGTGAATTTATCAACTTACCACAGTGTTAACAGGCTGATTTTCCATGAACGATTCTTTATTGTCTTTGGCATATTCAAAAAGTGTGTATGTCATAGCAGTTCCAAGATTAGCTTCGACTTCTACCATTAATTTATCCAATATACTTTGTTTAATAGCTGCAGATCTGAAAAAAATTATAGAACTCGTCTATGATCTAGACAGAAGAAAAAACGCTCATCAACCAAAAAGCTCCCACAAGTAAAGTTAGGGAGTGGAGCTACCATGTATACTTACATCGTGTTGTTGAAGAAAGCATCCATTGATATGACTGGTGCTGTTTGTGGATATGTTTCTGGCCAAGAAACTTCTATTAGAAAGGCTTTGGGATCTCCATTTTCTCCTATCTGAAGAGGAAAAAACGTAATCAGAAAGCAATAGCTTCCAGTCACTTATTAAAGATTAAACTGCCAATACACAAGTCTTTCTCTTCTCTAAAACAGATCAATTACTTCAGGTAACAATTTATAAAGCTGGTCAGAAATTAAGAATTTTTCAGATAAAAGTCTTACCTAGACATAAACATTAGTCTCAGAGCTTTTATCCTGGGAAAAACAAAATTAGTATAAATAAATAAATAAATAAACATAAGGGGCTCTGAGCAACCTGGTCTAGCGTGAGGTACCTCTGCCTATTGCAGAGGGGTTGGAACTAGATCACAGAATCACCTGGGTTGAAAAGGACCTCAGTGATCACTTATTTCCAACCCCCCCTTCTTTGTGCAGGGTTACCCACCACCAGACCAGGCTGCCCAGAGCCACATCCAGCCTAGCCTTGATTGCCTCCAGGAATAGATGTATAATCAACAAATATTAGGATGCTATAATCATAAAATAAACAAGAGAGTTAGGCAAAGCATACAATAATAACAAAAAGAGAATAGATAGAAAGCTTACCCCTATCCTGGGCTCACTCACAAAACTCCAGCAGAGCAGATCTCCAGAAGAGATCCTTCCCCACTGGTAGCCAGCTCTTAAATAGGTCTAGGAGGGGTGCAGCCAGGCTCCACCCCTTCCTGCAGCACAGGTGAATTGCCTTCAGCTGTGCTCCTCTGGCTGACTCATGGCTCGCCTCAGGTGATCCATCAGAGGTTCAGGCCATGACTCAGCACTTCCCACACAATGGGGCATCCACAACCTCCTTGGGCAAGGAGCATGCGTCACCACCCTGTGTGAAAAACTTCCTCCTAATATCTAACATAAACCTCCCCCATCTCAGTTTGAAACCAGATGATCTTAAATTCCCCTTCTAACCCGAACAATTCTATGATTCTCTGCTATATGAAGTTATTTCATTTCAATGTCTGTACCAGTACAGTGTAGTAGCTGACATTCAGTAGCATCAGGAGTAGAAATGAAATACATAAAACTTTAAATCAGACATCAGCAACATTCATCAAGACATCATGTACGCTGTAGCTGTCCAGTTCCCAGCAGAATCAAGAAGGAAACTCATCATATGGTTTACATACAAGTTCTCCTTTCCTCAGGAAGGCACTGCCTGCGCCATGAGTAAATCCACACAGAAAGCTGCACAACCATGTTCCTCCTTGTCAGTGCAGCTAAAAATCGGGTAGCCTTCTTTTCTACGATACCACATTTCTTCAGTATCTGTAAAGACCTTTCTTTTGTCTCATTTTCTTAGCAGACGAATCACAGAACACCTTTGTCTTACGTGAGGCCCACCGGAGACTGATGAGACACATTAATTCTTTTGACTTCTCATGCACTTACTGCACTATGCTTTCTCAAACCCAAAACTTGGTGTCAGACAAAGGCAATAAGAATATATTGTTTCACAGGCATGATACATGATTACCTTTGTCTGATATTAAGTTTCACGACACTTCGATTAAGTTTGCCTAACTTTTGACTTCCTAATCGGTGACAACTGAAGCTGGCAAGATCCCGTGACGCAGTGTAGGCTCGTCACGATCACTCTTTTCAAAAAATACAGCTAACTTAGAGCAGCGATACGCGTGCCAAGGAAACCTCGGGCCGCCCCTGCGGGCAGCCCCATCCGGGCACCGCACAGCCGCGCCGTGACCGCCTGACAGCACCGCACGAAGGTCCCGCGACACCTCCCTCCTGGCACAGCCGTGCTTACGGCGCTGCCTTACCCTGTACTGGAAGGACACCGGGCTGAGCTCCCTGAAGCAGCCGTCTCCTTCGTAGATCGAGCGCAGCGCCTCCAGTTCCATCTGAGAGAGGGACACGGAGCGCGATCAAAGACCGCGGTTCCCCCCCCCCGGTCCCGCACCTCAGGCTTTTCCCGCCTTCTCCCCGCCGCGCGCCCCTCCCGGGCCGGCTCCCCTCAGCCGGGCGGGAGGCGGCCCGGCCCACCCCTCCTCTCACCTCCTGGTCCTCATTGGCCGCCATGGCGCGCGGCAGGCACCACGCGCGCACCCGCCTGGGGCCGCGCGGCCCCGTCGCCGCCACGCATGCGCAGGAGACCGAAGCGAGCCCCCGCCGCGATCGGCGCTCCCTTCCTGTCTTCCTCGTCTCTTCCACCTTTCGCGGACTGGCTCCGGCGCGGGGGCGGGCTCTCCCTGATCGGCCGGGCGGAGCCGCGGGAGCGCCGATTGGTCAGTTTTGCCGTCCGTCTCCCGGCCGGCACCAGCTTCCTGAGGCGGCGGCCCGCCCCACCTCCCGTGATTGTCGCCGGTGCCGGCGCTGCCGGGCGCCCAGCTGCAGCTCCGGCCTCCAGCTTCGGCCGGGGGCTGCGGGGAGCGGGATGACTCCGAGCCAGTGGGACTTGCCGGTGGAGCTGTGCTGCCGGCCTATGGCCTTCGTCACCCTCACCGGCCTGGACGTGGTGTACAACGCCGTGCACCGGGCCGTGTGGGACGCGTTCTGCGCCAACCGGAGGGCCGACCGCGTCCCCATCTCCTTCAAAGTGCTGCCCGGCGACCATGAGTACCCCAAGTGCCGGACGAAGGTAGCGAGCGGCTGGGGCCTATCCGAGGGCCGATTCCCGTGGAGGCAGGTTGAGGGAGCAGGGCTTGTTGGGTGCGGAGAAGAGAGGGCTCCGGGCCTTCCGGTACCTAAAGAGAGCTCGCAGAAACGTGGGGAGGGCCCTTCTTCATTGGGGAGCGCAGTGACGGCTCCAGGGGTTTCGAACTACAAGAGGGGAGACTTGGATTGGATACCAAGATACATTTCTGTGCTGGAACTGCTGCACGCAGCTGTGGGTGCCCCATCCCTGGAGATGCCCGTGGTTGGATGGGCCCCAGGCAGCCTGAGCTGGTGGGGAGCACCCAGCCCATGGCAGGGGGTGGGGGGCTTTGAGGTCCCCTCCCACCCAAACCGTTATATGCTTCTACCATTCGGTGCTTAACCTTTTTTACTGAGTCTGCCTGGTACCTGTTGTCATTTGTTGGGTGCTATCTTGGTGCTGGGCCCTGTTGCTGGGGGGTGAGGTGCGTCTTACTTGATAGGAAGAAAAGGCTTGAGGGGAAGGATTGTAAAGGAAAGTTAAGAACCGTAGCCTCAAAGGCCGAGAATGTGCTGCCAGTTCCTCTTTTCCCCTATACTAAAACAGATAGTGAATGGTTTTAGTAGACTGTTCTAATCACCTCAATATTTTCAGAGGACCTCCTACGAGTGGTATATTCCAAAAGGGATCCTGAAGACAGGTTGGATGAACAAACACCTGAATTTAGTTCCTGCACTTGTGGTGGTGTTCTATGAACTGGACTGGGATGAACCGCAGTGGAAAGAAAAGCAGTCAGAATGTGCCACTCGGGTTGAAATAGTCAGGTAGTGCTCCATCTCCTTTGTAAGGTGCTACAAGCATTTGGTGAAGTGTAAATTGTGGGGTCTTTTCTGTGCTATAAAACATCTACGTATATAATCTTCTTATATGCAAATTAAGGGGATCTTGACTTTTGCTTTTTAATGTACAGCTACAAGTAAAGGAATTTTTTGTATGGCTTATTTGGTAAAGTACTTAAGTAAAAACAGCTTCTGAAGTGTTGTTTGCTAAACTCAATACAATTATGCTTATCTTGATGAAGGGTTGAGCACCATGTTCTGTCGATGATGTGGCGTATTCTCTTCAATTTTATTTCTTATGTAGCATGCTTTCATTGCTTCTGTGTAGACTGAAATGGAACTTTTATCTGATTATTCACAAATATGAAGGGAAGCCTTAATGAGCTATGTTATTTTTATTCTAGGCAAAGTTTGCAAGGAAGAAATACAAAAGTTGCTGTCGTCCTGATTCAGAAAAAAACTCCATTACCTCCAGGTACTGGAAAGCCTTGTATGTAATTGTAATGATCTCATTTTTCAGAAAGGCTGACTGAGCTGACTGTAGTCTGTTGCATTAACTGCAGTTCGTGATATGATGTCATCTGAACACAAAATACATTGAGGCTGCAGGGAGATGCTGCTGAGTGCAGTTGAAAAATGTGTGAAACTTTCATCCTTAATTACTTACTCTCAGATCTGGCCCATCTGTTGATACTATGTATCAAAAATGGTTTGTTAGTGTAGTGCCCACAACAATGTGTTTTCATAGTAAGTTGTATTTTAAAGCTTCCTTGAGATCAAGAAAAAATGAGAGGGCTCAGAGCTGAGGGTAATTGCAGAAACCTTTAGTTGAACTCTGTATTAATCAATGAAACTTTGAAGCATGAGAGAAGACAGCTTGTGATTTTTCATGCATGCATTCTCAGCTAGCACTGGGAAGTGCTTTTGTGCTTGGTATGTTGTTGAGTATTCTTTAAGTGCCATTTTTGAGTGAACTTAAGCAAAATATAAAGCTTCTTCCCAGCCATCCTGCTGCTTGCTACATTTTCCCTCTCTGTGCAAGAACTTCCTTGGAAGAGGTAAATGCTGTGGAAGTCACATCTTGAATGATCCTTTCTTACACCAACTTTGGATGTGGTGGGGAAGTCGTTGTATTTCTCAGATGGCTGCTACTCTTCTCTGGATTTGAAGAAAATCCAGTGTTTTTTATGTTGGACTGAAGAAGCCTTTTAATGTCGAGATCCGAAGTAGGGAATGTAGAGGAAAAACACGAGTCGAAGTGGGGCGGTGAAACTTGATGTGTTTTAATTTTTTGTTTTTCTAGAACCACTGTTTCAGCTCTAGGTGCATATTTGCAGTGTCAGGCAAGCCATTATTTTATTTAAGGTAGAAGATATTCAATTCTATGAGGCAGATCAGAAATTTAAGGAAAGGAATAGTCATACTTACACCTTGGTGCTAGATAAACCACTCCTAGTAGGTTTGTGTAATGTGGTCCCCTGGATGAAGCATGTAATATTCAGAGAGAACTAAGAAGGAATTTGTTAGATTTTCTTGTACCTTGCACTGATTGAGATTTTGGAGGTCACTTGACACTGCAACACCACATAGTGTTACCTGTGATTTTCTTGCCTTCGCTAGGGGAAGACGTTATTGCATCAGAGAGGGCAGCAGCTTTATGTAATGCTTGTGACCTTTCTGGAAAATCCCTCTTTGTGCTTCCACACACTGATCATCTTGTTGGCTATATTATAAGGTAAGCGACTGTAAATCACTGTTTTGCTCTGTGTGGCAATGGAGATGGTGAGAGTTGACAGGCTGAGATGATGGCTGTCTGGCATGCTTGCTGTAGAGCAGCACTGTGTGTTTCATCTGTTCACTGGAATTCTTCCCGTTGTTCTGCAAGCTGATGAATCCCACAGATCTCCCCCTTCTAAGTGGGATTGAGTGATGATGTCAGAGATGTTGCTCTGTGGGCTTCCAAAGAAATATCGTTAAGTATCTTAAGATGTTCCCCTCTTCATGTCAGATAACGGGAAAGCAGACTTTTCTACTTCTTTCATGGTTTTATCAGTGCTGATTCTGATTTTTTTTTTTTTTTTTTTTTCCCCTCAAATGTTTTGTTAGTTGTAACTCTACTAGCAAATATTTGCACTTCTTTTTCTCCTCCCCACCTCCACTTCCTGGCAGTATAGATATCTTGGTATTTGTACTAAGTAGTAATTTTCTGAGTGCAAATACTATCTTTGTCATTTCTTTACATTCATCACACTTCTTATTTTAACATATACAGAGTGTATAGCTTCAAATAAATTACCAAGACCTTTAAAACAAAAACAAAAAAAACAAAAACAATACAAAACAGACAAAAAAAAAAAAAAAACAGAACAGGGAAGAGAGTCTAAAAACACAAGCTCAAACCAAGGCAATTCATTACTATTTCCAGCTTTTTGAAGGTAGGGCTATATTGTTAGGGATTAACAGCTCATTATACTCAACTTTTTTTTTTTTAATGTTTATATATTCATGTACAGAGTTTCTGATCCTAGTTGTATTGACATTTTTTGTAGTAGTAAAATATACTTATTTTTGAGGAAAGGACTCTCCTTCTCCCTGTGGGCTGATCTGTCTTATACAGCTGCTACATGGTGCTAACATAAGTATGCTAGGCACTTATAATTTATCATGCTTTCCTTTTTTTTTTTTTTTTTGTCTGAACTTACAGTTGTTCAGTGCTCTGTTCTTTTGTTTCCATCCCCGTCCTCTCTGTTGTGTGGCAAATAGAACACGAGTTGGGATCTCCTTTAGCCTGTAGCCGTAGTCATCCCTTCTCAGCTAAATCACAGCTCTGGTACTTCATCCTTTATTCTCTACCTGTGGCCCTGCTATGGAATGCATTTCTTTCCTGTTCTCTGATATTTTTTTTTTTTCTCTGGTTGATTTTACTCTTTGTCCTGATCATGCAGCACATACTTAAGTCCTCTTTCACCTCGTACTGTATTCAGTGCTCTGGGCCTTTTTGTCTCTCTTCTTCCCCCGTGACTTGTCACTGGGCTCTTTATCTTGTGGACACAAGTTTGACCTGGTCTTTGCCTTCATAATCTTCTTACCCTATATAACATTTTGCCTTCCATTCCTCCCTCCCCCATTTAGCCCAGACAAGAAAAGTTTTGACCTCCTTATCTCAGGAGCCTCTGCAAGGTTTGCTTGCTCTGACTGAGGGATCTCCATTTTCTATTGCCTTGCAAAATCCTGACAGCTTATCAGTGGACTTTCTCACCTTAAATATCAGAGATTGTTGTGCTAGAAATCAATACATGAAACTCTCAAAGCTCCTTTGTTTTGTGCCACATCTCCGTGAGGTTTTGTGTGAATTGTTTTCATCTGCGTGCACTTACTGTGTGTGGTAACTTACAGAAGATTGTAGTAATATTTCAAGCTATTTCTGCCAAGCTTAGCATAAGCATGATTTAAAGTAATTTACTGGGAATACTGGGAAGTTACTCCGATTCCTTGTATGTGAGAGAAACAGTGAAACTTATGAGCAACTTTGTTGCAGATTGGAAAACGCGTTCTATGAGCATGCACAGACTTACTATTATACAGAAATAAGAAGAGTCAAATCTCATAAGGAATTCTTGAACAAAACCACTCACCAGGTAATGTTACTCCATTTTTGCAGTATTATGCAA